ACAAAAATCAAATAGTGATGTCAGAGAGTGGCGGGGAGGCTAGTGGGGTAGTGCAGTTCCTGATGAGTTGGGACCTCCCCTGCTCCTGCTCTTTATTTCTCTGGGTTTACCTTTTTAGGTTTCACATCATAGGTGAGATCATACTGTATCATCACCCAGCCTTTCAAAGCAAGAATATTCTCTGCAAAGGGAAGAGCAGTTCAAACATCAGAGGTTAGCCAGGCAAGGTAGAGCACACCTGGAAACCCAGCTACCCAGGAGGCTAAGGCAGGAGGATCACAAGTTAGAGGCTGGTCTGGGCAACTGAGCTAGATCCTGTCTCAAAAACTAAAAAGGACTCTGGTAAAGTACTTGCCTGGCCTGTGCCAGACCCTGGATTTAATCCCCAGTACCAACCAAACAAATATCCATCAGAGTTTGGGCTGGGTTCAGCAGTGCACACCTGTAATTTCAGCAACTCTGGAGGCCAAGGCAGGAGAATCATATGATCCAGAGCAGCCTGGGCAACTCACTGAGACCCTGTCTTGAAAAAAATAATAAATGAGGATATAGCTCAGTAGTAGAGTCCCCCTGGGTTCAATCTCCAGTACCACCCCCTCAAAATCATAGATTAGGAGCAGCTTGGCAGACTGAAGACATGGAAATCAGTTCCTGAAAGCAAGAGAGGCTAAGGAAGGAAAGCGTGGAAAGGTGGGCAGGGGCTTGGGGCTGGGCAGCATTCAAATTTAAGTGAGATAGGAAGTCTTTTTCTTTGGTGGGGGGGTAGTTTAGACAAAGGGACAACACATGTTGTATGTTTTTTAAAATCTAATTCTTGCCAGGCACGGTGGTCCACACTTGTAATCCCAGTGACTCAGTAGGCCAATGCAGGAGGATCATAAGTTCAAAGCCAGCCTCAGCAACTTAGGGAGGCCCTAAGCAACGTAGTGAGACCATGTCTCAAAAAAATAAAAGGGGCTGAGGATGTGGCTCAGTGGTTAAGTGCTCTGGGGTTCAATCCCTGGTACCAAAAAAAAAAAAAAAAAATCTAATTCTCAGGCTTAGGGTGTGGCTCAGTTGTAGAGCACTCACCTAGTATGCATGAGGCCCTGGGTTCAATCCTAGCCCTGCAAAAAAGAAAAAAAATTGAATTCCAGTTGCTTATGAAGAGCAGTTGGGGAGGTCAACACAGGAGGACCAATTAAGTTAGGAAGCTACTAAAGGAGCGCCCAAGTAAAGGTGATATCCGCTCTTCCCAACAGATCTTAGACCTTTCTTTTTTTCTCTCCTGGTACTGGGGACAGACCCCAGGGCCAACTGCAGATTACCACAGGCCCTACCACTGAGCTATACCTCAGATCTAATTTTTTATTTATTTATTTTTTAGCTTTAAGTGGACACAAGTCTTTATTTTATTTTTATGTGGTGCTGAGGATCGAACTCAGTGCCTCACACATGCCAGGTGAGCGCGCTGCTACTTGAGCCATATCCCCAGCCCCCAGATCTAATATTTAACAAGCTCAGGCAGCTCTGCCCCCTTTAGAAGGGGTTGCTATGTGCAAAGTCGGGGGAGGGGACAAAGAAATGAAGTGCTTGACTTCAGCTCATTTACAAGCCCAGAATGAATTGTGCTCTGTGTCCAGAAGGCTCCAGGGCAGAAAAGGCAAATAAGAGGCAGTCCCTGTTCCGAAGATGATCTCAACACTACTAGTCACCTGTAATGCAGGTCAGAGAACAGGACGGCCAGCACCCTGCCTCAAGGCCCGTCCAACAAATTGATATTTATAAAGGATTTACTACTTGCCAGGCATTATATATATATAAAATTAGATATTATGTATTAGATATTCTTGGTAAATTATATGATTAAACATGTAGTAGATATTCATTCCATTACACACAATTATTATCATTATCATTAGTCTTGACAAGATGATGATCTGGATGCAGAGAGCTCAAAATAAGAAAGATTAGTTTCCAACTTCATATAATCTCTTCATTGCACTCTGAGTAGTTTCTTCCCATTGATGGGGGGGGTTTGTTCTTTGGTTGGTTGAATGCTACCACTGAGCTATCCTCCTAACCTCCATTTTTTTTTTTTTAGTTATAAACATTTTTTTTCTTTTTCTGTACTGGGGGTTGGGGTGCTTTCCCACTGAGTTTTATCCTCAGCCCTTTTCATTTTTTATTTTGAGACAGTCTCACTAAGTTGCTGAGGTGGGCCTCAAACTTGCCATCCTCCTGCCTCAGCCTCCTGAGTTGCTGGGATTATAGGCATTAAGCTTACCTGGCTTCTTTCTTTCTTTTTTTAATTCTGTTGTATATGTCAATATTTCATGAGTAGTTACTTTTTACATTCTATATCTGTTATATCTAATATCCGAAATCCTTGAGGAACTACATCTTTTGCTTTGGTTTCTACTGATACTTTCATGTTGTTTCCCCCCTGCCCACTGGGGATATAGCTCAGTTTATTATTGTGGAAATTTAAAAATATATTTAATTGACAAAAAGTAATTGAATATATTCAAGGTGTACATTATGATAATCACATATATGGGTACATTGTATCACCTCCACAATCAAATTAGTTAAACGTCCATCCCTGCCCATGCCAAGCATTCGATCCCCAGAACTTATCCGTCTCGTAACTGTAAGTTTATACATTTTGACCAACATCCCTCGTTTTCCCCGCCCCCAGCCCTTGGTAACCACCATTTTGCTCTCTAATACTGTGAGTTTTACTCTTTATTTATTTTATTTTTTTAAATATTTATTTTTTACGTTGTAGTTGGACACAATGTCTTTAATTTATTTATTTTTATGTGGTGCTGAGGATCGAACCCAGGGCCTTGCACATGCTAGGCAAGTGCTCTACCTCTGAGCCACAATCCCAGCCCGAGTTCTACTCTTTAGAGACCTCATGTGAGTGAGATCATATTGTGTGTCTGGCCTCGTTCACTTAGCATAAGGTCCTCTGGGTTCATCCATATTGTTGCAAATGGCCAGATTTCTTTTTTGCTAGTTGAATAATATTGCAATTTTTGATCCTGCGTGGGTCGATGGCATTGAAGGTATTTCCATATCTTGGTTATTGTGAATAATGCTGCAGTAAATGTGGGGTACATCAACAAATTCCACTAATATGCATAATTATAATTATCTCTTCAAAATACTGCTTTCATTCCTTTGGACATATACCCAGAAGTGGGATTGCTGGGTCATGTGGTGACTCTATTTAAAGTTTTTGAAGGAACTTTATACTATTTTTCATAATAGCTGAACTAAGTCCCTTCCCCACCAATGGGATATAAGCTTTCCCTTTTGATCTCCATACTCTAGCCAACACTTTAAAACTTTTTCTTTTTTCTTTTTTGCGGTTCTGGGGATTTGAAGCAAGGGCCTTGTTCAGTCTAGGCAAGTGCACTACCACAGAGCCATAGTCCAGTCTTCTTTTGTCTTTTTGATAATAGATATGCTAAGGTGATAGCAAGGTGATAGCTCATTATGGTTTGTTTATTTTTATTTTTAAAAATATTTTTATTAGTTGTTGATGGACCTTTATTTTATTTACTTATTTATATGTGGTGTTCAGAATCCAGCCCAGTGCCTCACACATGCTAGTCAAGCACTTTACCACTTAGCCCCAGCCCCTTATTTTTATTTTTGAGGTGCTGGGGATTGAGCATAGGTTCCTGTGCATGCTCTGCACCCCCAGGCCTCATCAGGTTTCCATTTTAATTCTTCTGATGATAATGATACAGAACACCTTTCTGTATACCTGTTGGCCACTCCTTTGTCCTCTTTGGCAAAATGTCTAGTCAGGTTCAGGTTCTATACCTTTTTTTTTGAAACAAGGTCTCATTAAGTTGCTTAGGGTCTCACTAAATTGTAAGGCTGACCCTCCTGTCTCAGCCTCCAGAGTGGCTGGGATTACAGGCATATGCCACTGCACCGAGCTCCTTTGCCCATATTAAAAAAAAAAAATTTAAGTTGTTGATGGACCTTTATTTTTATTCATTTTTATGTGGTGCTGAGGATTGAAGCCAGTGCCTCACACATGGTAGGCAAGCGCTCTACCACTGAGCTACAGCCCCAGCCAATCATTTGCTCATATTTTAACCAGGATTTTTGGGGTTTGTTTTCCTTTTGCTGTCAAGCAGTGATTTTTTTTAAAAGGGGTTGAATTTAATCCCCAGAACACACCTGACTTTGCTGATTTGAAATGTTCGAAAGAAAGAAAGAGAGAGAGAGAGAGAGAGAGAGAGAGAGAGAGAGAGAGAGAGAGAGAGAGAGAGGAAGGAAGGAAGGAAGGAAGGAAGGAAGGAAGGAAGGAAGGAAGGAAGGAAGGAAGGAAGGAAGTCCTCAGAAAATGTGCAGTTACTCCTTCTAGGCACGAGGAGGCGCTACGAACATGATAAATTAATTTCTCAGCGACAGACTGCCTGGAGCTGAAGGGAGCAGGGATATGGTTCTTAGCTCCCCGGGAGCCAGATCTTATTAAAATTTTTCCCACCACAAGGGAGAGATTCCCTTTGCTGACAAGTGTAGGTTTTTTGTCTACCCATTCACTGAAGTTGCAGCCTCTTTCAGGATCTAGGCCTAATTTATGAGTGTTGGACTCGCCTCCCACTGGACAATGAACTCAATGTCTACTCAATGTCTTCTGTTCCTTGTAGTTCTTTACTGTCCAAGGTCGTGGAGTCAGTGTTTTCCCCATGGTCAGCCCCAGCTCCTACACCTTGGCTTCCACTCACTATTTTTGGTTTTCAAGGGACCTATGAGAAGTTCTCTTACCTCTTGCTAATTTAGCAAAAGATTTATTAGTTGTTTATTGTTTGAACCCAGAGGCACTTTACCATTGAACTACATCCCAGCCTTTTTTATATTATTTATTTATTTTTGAGACAGGATCTCACTGAGTTGCCCAGGTTGTCCTCAAACTTGCAATCCTCTGGGGGCTGGAGATACAGCTCAGTTAGTCGCGTGCTTTCCTTGCATGCACAAGGCCCTGGGTCCAATCCCAGCACCAAAAAAAAAAAAAAAAAAAAAACTTGCAATCCTCTTGCCTCAGCCTCCCACACAGCTGGAATTAAAGGCATGAGCCACCAATACTCAGTTTTTGTCAGTCCCTGGGAGGTCTCTGGTCATTGTACCTCTCTATATCTGGTCCTCCTGGCATGGCCATGCTGGCTAAAGACCTTTCCTGCCCTTTAACACTGTTCAGCTCTTCAACTGGCATGGTGAGACGGGTGGCCGAGCCTGGTCTATTGGGACCTCCAGGACCTTTGCTCAAGCCTGCTGGTAATAGTATGAGGGCTCTACATAAAATCTAGAGCACTAGCCTGCCAGAAAGGAAGTCTGGAAAACCAGCTTCTGTCATTCATTCATTCAACAATTTTATTTGTTTATCAATCTATTTATTTATTTATTTTTGGTACTGGGGATTGAATTCAGTGGTGCTTAACCACTGAGCAACCTCCCTAGCCCTTTTTATTTTTTTATTTAGAGACAGGTGTTGCTCAGTTGCTTTGGGCCTCTCTAAGTTGCCAGGCTGGCCTCCAACTTGGGATCCTCCTGCCTTAGCCTCCAGAGTTGCTGGGATTACAGACATGCGCTACCTCCCCATGGCAAATTATTGAATAACCCTGCATGGCAGCTAGTTTTGATGATAAAGCAAAAAGAAGCAAGGTCTCTGCTCCCTGGAGCTCACAGTTTAAAGGAGAGAAAGATATAATCAAAGAGCCACACAGAGGAGAATGTGTAATTACAGACTGGGGGGTGGTCATGAAAGCACGTGCTTTCATGGCTCACACCTGCAGCATCAGCAGCATCTGGGAACTTCATGAAATGCAAATTTTGGGGCCCACCACAAATCTATTGAATCAGAAACTCAGGAGTAGGACTCACCAATCTGTACTTTAACAAAACTTCTAGGTAATTCTGAACCTCTGACATAAGCCAAAGGAATCTGACTTAGATAGAGGAAGCTATATGGAACTTAGAGCTGAAAGATGAGTGGAAGGTACGTAAGTAGTGAGAAGAACATGTGAAATTGTCCTGTGGTGGGAGAAAGCCCAGTATTAAGGACCCAAGACAAGAGCAAGTGAATGTATGTAGGTTCTGCAGGCTGGGGAAAGGAGTAGACATGATTCTTTAGAGCAAAGGGAAGCCACTGAAGAGCAGGGTGACTTGATCAGAATTCCATTTCAATAGTTATTTGTTCAGATTCAGGACAGGACTGGAGCTGTGATATTAGGATTGGAAATGAGGGAGTAGACCCCAGGAAACTTCAAAGTACATCAGCAGGACTTAGGGATTCTGATGTGAGAGGACAGGAGAGAGCTGCTGTGGACAGCAGGCTATGCCCTGCTCTGAGTTACTCCACAACTTATGGAACAGCAGTTTTCAGGCTGTGCCTAAACCTCAGTGACTCCACTTTGTAAAGCAGTCGTTTGCCGTGAGCTTAAGTGCCAAGGGGGAAGGATTCCACATCTTGTTTGTATAAGTAGACAACCACCATCTGCCTGGCACAACGAGAGGCATAAAGCAATAAATAAGTTAATTGTGCTAATAGAATGACCTAGTGAGTTATCAGAAGTACAGGGATGCATGGGCGTGTCAAACTCATATTGGAAAAAAACAGGCTCCCGAGCTTTTTGAACACACCAGACCACCAAAGGTAGGAACCCCTTCACCCGAGGCCCATAAAAAAGGAGAAGCACCCCGAGACTGGACACCCCATCTTCTGGTCATCAGGAAAATCACAGTGATGAACCTCTGAATCTCTGCCCTTGGTCTCTAGCAGAGTGTGGTTCCTTCTGCCACGCGTGGCCCACTCCAAACTGACTTGGAAACTGCCACCTGGTCTGTCCAGACCTTGGCCTGGAATAACTTCCTAAGCTTCGACTGCTTTGAACCAGCTTTTGGCTACTCCTAATCTTATCTGACTACCTAGGGACTCTTTGCCTTGTATCTGCTCTCTGCCTTCTGAACCCTGTGGCTCCCTTGACCCTCTCTTAGCCTTTCTGTATCCCACCCACATCACTGTGTGAGGTGTGGGTGACTTGAGTGTTACAGATGTTAGAAATTAAGATGGGAATAAAAGAACTTGTGATTGTCAGGCTTATGAACCAGGTGACCCACAAGGATTCAGTGAACTGCCCCTTGTGGAAATGGTGTAGCTTGTCAATGTGCTGTCATTCAATGAATAGTGACATTGTGGAAAAACACAAATGTGTCTGGTCTGTGTTGATGACAGCTGCTTTGGGACACCTGTGACCTTGAGCTCTGCAGAAGGGCCAGGCTAGGGGGGTAATGTGAAGCACCTCTGGGGTACAAGAGGCACCAGCGTGGGCCTGGTGCAGGTTGGGGACAGGCTGGGGACACCAATGGAGTCACATCCAGAGATTGAGTCCTCTGGGCCTAGCTGTTGAGTGAGTGTGGTAAACGTTACTTAAGCCAGTCACCCCCGGCTGTGCCCTCTCCCCTTTATATGTAGCCACTGTAGCACTCCATGCCTGAGTCTCCCCTGGAGCTCCTCGGCCACTGCTATAAAACTAAGTATGACATCTGACAACACAAGTCCTACGGGACTCTACTTAACATATTGGTCTCAGTTGCCAGCTCTGTACACCAAGCCTCCCTGCCCCTTGGTAACCTGAAAGCCACTTCGCCGACAGAGTCCTATTTCTTAAAGATTGCTCTCTCAAGAGTTCCTGAACAGGGCTGGGGATGTGGCTCAAGCGGTAGCGCACTTGCCTGGCATGCGTGCGGCCCGGGTTCAATCCTCAGCACCACATACAAACAAAGATGTTGTGTCCGCCGATAACTAAAAAATAAATATTAAAATTCTCTCTCTCTCTCTCTCTCTCTTAAAAAAAAAAAAAAGAGTTCCTGAACATAACGGCAACCCCGGCCTGGGAGGCAGCTCAGTAGTTGCTGGCTCGCCCGGCACAGAGAAGGCCCTGGGTTCCATCCCCAGCATGAGAAAAAGAGAATGAAAAAACTTGAGTCATTTCCTGCCTGATCTTTGTTGGTTTTTCAGTTTTCTAACAGTGCTTGACTCCCCCTGCGCTCCCCCATGCAAGAGGAGCAGTTTTACCACAGATGGCCCCGTGCTTCACCCTGAGGACCTCACAGCCCGGCTAGCAGCCCTGCTGTGCGTGAGTGGAAAGAACTGTCACCTGGAACTTGGTGGCCCCTCCTGCACCCTGCCATGTACCCCTCTCGTTCTAAATTATGAGTTCAGGCCCTGCCAGAGAGGCCTCTGGGTAGAACCAGAGAAGAAAAATGGAAGCCCAAATGTACAGGCACAATTACTACTCCAAAAGGATTTTTTAAAAATAAGGATTCCTTGATTTTACTCTCCATAGCTGTCATTTGGTGAGAAATTGCAAGCTACAAAGGGCCACTCAGATTCTTCTGTCCCCTCCTTGCCGTTTATAAAAGCCATCTCCTCTTCCACGTGTGCACAGTTTACTTCCCTAGAGCAGCCGACTGCCCCAGTAGCCCAGCGTCTGCTGTGCCCCCACTGCCCTGTCCAGCCTGAAACTCCTGATACTGCAGTGGCACTGTACCAGCCCCAAACTGCCTTACCCGAAGAGAATCTCAGAGAGAAAACTGAGGCAGAAAGCAGAAAGGGCTGTGCTAGTCTCAAGTCACCAGAGAACTGGTCTCAAGGTGACTATGTTTTCCAAAAGAGGAACAGAGATTTCTAAAAACTAGTTCAAAGGCTCCTACCATACAACTTTCTCAGCTTGACAGGGCAGCACATTTCTGTTCAGGAACACCTGGAACACTGATTCTTAAACTTTCGTGTGAGTAAAAATCACCAGGAAAGCTTTCTATAATACAGATTCCTGGGCCCTGTCCCCAGAGATCTGGATTGGCAGGTGTGAAGTGGGCAGGACCTTCTTCCTGGCTCAACTGCTCGCCACACAACACACTTGGATTAGCATAGACTATATACTCATGGCCCCTTACCTCTGGCTTAGCTGGGGTGAAGCGGAGAGGTGGGCTGTGGGCCTCACCCAGGTTCTAGGCCAGCAGGGTACCTCCTGCATCTTTGGCAGCAACCTTCTAGGGTCAGTCTAGTCACTTCTACCAACTGGAAGGATTTTCCTTTGGAGCCAGTGAGGGGAAATTTGCACACATCGCTTTGTTTCTCTAACAAAATACTAACCCTGCGGGGCATGATGGCACACACCTGTAATCCCAGCAGCTCGGGAGGCTGAGGCAGGAGGATTGCAAGTTCAAAGCCAGCCCCAGCAAAAAGTGAGGCACTAAGCAACTCAGTGAGACTCTGTCTCTAAATAAAACACAGAAAATAGGACGGGGGATGTGGCTCAGGGGTTAAGTGCCCCTGAGTTCAATCTCTGGTACCCCCCACCAAAAAAAGAAAGAAAGAGAGAAAGGAAACTAACCCTAGCTGCGAGGGAGGCTAGCAAATGCAGCCCTGCTCAGGGCCACCTGCCCAGCCACCTCTGAGCATGGGAGAACCTTCAAGATGGCCGCCAGCAACAGAGGAGGGCTCCGATGAGCACCTGGAGGGTCAGTCCTGGCAGGTGTGGCCTACGTCAGTTGGAACTTAGGTGACTCATGGAGATAGCCAAAGTGCTAGGTGGAGCAAGGTACAAAGGAAATGGACTCTGGGATTGGAGGACCAGATGCATCCAGGCAAGTTGTGACTTCGAGCTGTGTGACCTGGAACAAGTTGCAAAATATCTCTGAGCCAAGGCCGCCTCCTCTGTAAACTGTGACAATTACATGGGATAGGGTCTACAGGGGGCACCCAACCAATGGCAGGAATTCAGTCACCACAGGGTGCCTCAGGTTGATTGCAGACCAGATTAGGACATTAGTGTGGGTACAGGCTATGTTGAGCTTTATTCTCAACGAAAGGGATCCTCTTAGCCAATTCTTAATTCCCACCTGGCAAGTGAGATGGGAAAAGAAGATGTGGGATGGGTGTGGATGAGGTGGAACCCCAACCTCTGCACCCCTTCCCTGGAGATGACTTGGAGATGTCAGGGCATGCAAATGGAGGTTGGGAGGCACAGGAGACAGCTGTGTGTGACAGAACCAAGGGAGCAGGTGTGGTGGCTGGAGTTGGGAGATAGGTCAGGGGTGCAATCAGCATTTCATTTAATGAGCACTTAGTGAGTACATCTGTTCAAGCATCGGGGTTGTGCTGAGAGACACAAGGCGCTCACACACCAATGGAGAAGCCAAGTAGCAAATCAAACACAGAGCAGTGCAGGTGGGCTGGGGGCCCTGGAAGCTCAGAGTCAGCGTGGGCAGGGCAGGAAGTACCCTGGAGACAGTGCTCTGCTGTGTCTTGGAGGACAGTGGGGTCAGCTGGGGAATCAGCCCCCAATGGCCAATGTAGATGAGTCTCCCAGGCCCGGGCCACAGTGAACACAGCTTGTTCATGTCCACGAAGTGACCAAGGGAGAGGAAAGCCTAGTGGGGAGGGACGGCCAGGTAGTGGCGGGGTTTGGAATTTTCCCCAAGGTAATGGAAGCCCCTGAAGGATTCTGGATGGGGATGGACAAAAGGTCACACCACGCTACAGTCATGGGAGGAGAGCTTTGAAAGGAGTGGATGGGAAGAAGAACCCAGTGTGCTGCTACTGGACCCCAGGGGGAGGGTGGCGTGGAAGCCACCTCCAGTCCCTGGGAGCTCCTGAAGAGGGGACATGGCAGCCAGACACGGTGGTGCCCACCTGAAATCCCAGCAACTCAGGAGGCCGAGGTAGGAGGATCACAGGTTCAAAGCCAGCCTCCATAGCTGTAAGCAACCTACTGAGACCCTGTCTCAAAATGAAAAATAAAAAGGGCTGGGATGTGGCTGAGGTATTAGACGCCCTTGGGTTTAATACCTCATACCAAAAAAAAAAAAGAGGGGACCTGGCAGAACTAGGGCTGGGCTGTCACCAGCACCACTTGTGCTTCCTGGTTCAGGGAAGAAAAGGGGTCCAGGTGAGTGCTGCTGGGTAGAAGCCAGGATCAATGGCTTTCTGCTCAGGTGTCCTGCAGCCCGGTCTGGGTGGTTGGAGGTGCCGGGCCTCGGAGAGGCCAAGCCCCTTGCATTTGAGTTCAAGCTGGGTGCTCTCAGCTTGGCTTCCCGTCTTGCCCTCAGGGTCCTGTGGGGGAGCTGCTGGCAGTGCCCGCCAGGCTCATCCCCTTGAGTGCAGGAAATACTCATAGCTGAGGAAGGTGACAGCGTTGACCGGAAAGGCGCGGGCACTGTTGATGGTAAGCCCCCGGAAGAAGACCCCCAGTCCCTCCTGCCTGAAGCTGCTCACCATGCAGTCCAGCAACCCCTGGTAGGCTCTGCGTCCCAGGCCATCCATCTGCATCCGGGACTTGATCACATCTAAGGGCGTGGCTGTCACCCAGGAGGCAATGCCTGCAAAGCCCCCGGCCACTAGCACTGTGGCTGAGCCTGGGGTAGAGGAAGCCCAGGGTGGGGTCAGATGGGAAAAAGAGCACCCTCTCCCTCCCCAGCCCCCCACCCTCTCACCACTTCACTTACTAGGGGTCTGGCCATCTGGAGTGTACTGGCGACAGAGCCCTTCATAGGTGACAAAGTAGATTCCCAAAGTGGGGGTGTCCCTCAGCATTAGGGCCCAGGCTCCTCGGAACAGTCCCCGTGGACCCTCTTCCCGGAAGATGGTGGCTACGCAGTGCACGGGCCCCTGGTACCGGGGTCGAGGGCTCCCTGGCTGCACCCTTGACTCCGTCTGGTTTTGTAGTCGGACTTTGATGAGGTCAAATGGGGCCAGGCAGTAGGACTGTTGGGAAGGAAACAAGCAGGGCTTGGGCTGGTAACTGTCCCTTAAGACAACAAGAGGAAGGATGGGCAGAGGGGCTGCATCAGCCTGTGGGGACCACACTGGGGCCTCTCCCACACATGGCTGGGCATGGGCCAGGGCATTCTGATGCAGCAGGACAGGCCACCTCCCTGGGTATCAGGCTTGGTCCCCGCCTCATGCACAGCACCAAGCTTGCCTGGCAGGCACCAGGCCCAAGAGGACAAGCCCGGATTGTTTTTCCAGGAGTGGGAGTGAGTGTCTGGCCTCCCAAGATCCAGGGATGTGCAGGCATTTGCAGTAACTGGGCTGGATAAAGGGTTCAGTCTGTGACCATGAAACACCAAAGAACAGGCCCTCCCCAGGGTGAAGGAGGTCACCTCAGAGTCATTGTTCTAGTTACAGGGCCCAGCTTCACAGCTTCTCCCCCTTCCTCTGTGTGTCACCTCTCAGAGGCCTGAGGCCACCACTGGGCAGCCCTTCCTGCCTCTCACCAAGCCCTGTGATGGGTGGGATTCAGCAGGTCATAGAATTCTTGTCATTGTCTTAGGTAGACAAGAAAGATTTGGGGTAGAAATGGGACAGGGCCCCTGGTGAGGGTGGGCACTGAGGGGATACAGAAAGGAGGGGGAGGGGTGGGGTTGGGTCAGGGACACAACCGCATTGTTCAGATAAGCTGCTGAAGTTCAGGTGAGAGCTGGGTCCAGGCTGAGGGTGGCATGTTGCTGGGGACATGTGTGGGTTTTTTTTTGTTTTTGTTTTATTTTTGGGTGTACCGGGGATTGAACTCAGGGGCACTCGACCACTGAGCCACATCCCCAGCCCTATTTTGTATTTTATTTAGAGACAGGGTCTCACTGAGTTGCTTAGTGCCTCACTTTTGCTGAGGTTGGCTTTGAACTCATGATCCTCCTGCCTCAGCTCCTGAGCCTATGGGATTGGAGGCGTGCACCATGGTTCCAGGCCCGGGCTCATATGTGTCTTGGGAGGAGCCACCTGAGCCCAACTCCTCAGCTTTAGACATGGCTGGTGGTGGAGGGGGCTGGAGATCAGCCCTGGAGGTAGGTTTTGATAAACAGCAAGCCACACTTTTACTTTTGTCTCAGCAGGCAGGGTTGTGGGCTGGGGACCCCCTTTGTGAGACAGGCCCTAATGCTGCCCTCCAGAGCCTGTTGGCCGAGCTGAGCCCTTGGCCAGGGTGGTTTCCTGAGCCTGGTCTCCCGAGGGCTGAGGAAAGTGCTGTGTGGTGGGGGTCACGGAGCACCAGGTGTTCTTTCCCCAGTGAGCCGTCAGCCTCTGCCAGGTGGAGAACAAGTCCGTGCCCGTCAGAGGCTGTCGGTGTCTCCCTCTTCCTCCCACCTGCTCACTAAGATACAATTCTGCTTCAAGACCTGTTATGCCAAAGCCATAGGCTTGACATGAATCCCAGGCTCCAGTCAGCCCTTGGACCCAGTCTCTATCCATGGCCCCGACTGTCCTCTATTTTGCTTTCTAGAGACTGAGGAGTGGGGCCTGGCTGGGCCTAAGTCAGGCCACTTTGCTGAGTGTCTCGGTTCTCTTTATTGTTTTTGCAGAGTATAGAGCTTGGGGCTTAGAGATAGGTAGTCATGGCTCCCACACAAGAAGGTTCAGAATCCTCAAGACTTCTGGGGGTCTCGTTAATCATTAATTAACTTAATATGCAGCCTGACTTTGTCCTCGGGTCTTGCTCTCTGCTCCATGAAATGTGTCAAGGGCATCAAGGCAGGTGACCAGATGGGGTGTGGGACAGAACCAGTCCCTCTGCCTCTTTCTGTTCAGATTCCTTCTTGCCTCCACCCCACCCCTCAAAAGCCCATGAACTACAGTGCTGAGAACAAAACCAAATGACTGCAGCGACTTAATGATTAATATCCCGGGCCTCTCCCAGTGAGATCTGTGGCCTGGAGCCTCAGGTGAGGCTCCCAGATAGTGGCCACCAGTTGCTGAGGGCAAGGGCCTCAGCCAGGCAGGGCTGGGCTTTGAGCTCTGTGGGGACTAATTGTTGTTCAGGGTCAAAGGTCATCATGGGGAGTAGTCTTCCCACAGAGCTGGGGTTGGCAGACCCCTCTGGAGGTGGACAAGTCCTGTCAGCTCGAGAGCAGGCTCCAGCTTCTCCTCTATGGCCTCCTCTTGGCACTGCCAACCAACTCTTTCTGTCTTTTGCCCGCTCTGTTCTCCACCCTCAGGTGGGCAGCCTGGTTAGGCCACCAGGAGCAGCAGCACCACATGGCCTTCAGCAAGGCCTGCCCATCTGTAGCTCTGAGTCACCAGAGGGTTAGGGAGGAGACAGACCCCTCTGGTCAGCACGGTACCACCTGTGTGTATGCCCACGTGCCACCCACTCACCTGCAGGACACCACCAGTGCAGCCTGCTATGAAGACATGTGTGTAGCTGGGGGGCTGGGCCCGCCGCTCCTGGTGGGAGGTGGCTGTGAGTGCCAGCAGGGTGTTGCTGTAGACCCCGAACAGGACAGAGTTGACCACAGGTATGCTGGCAATGGGGAAGCTCATTCCCTTGAAGAAGCCCAGGAGCTGCGGGGCAACATGGTGGCACTGAAGTAGGCACAGCGGGCCCACCCTCTCCCCTTACCAGCCGAGCAAGGTCTCCTCCCTCCCTCCCACTCCCCTCTACTAAGCCCTATCCCAGGGAGGTGGGGTGGTGAGGTTGGGAAGGCCTGGCTCTATCCTGAAGGGGCTAAGCTACCACCCAGTGCTCCCAACGAGCCCAAACGTGGTCTTTTGTTTCGGAGGGCAGAGCCCTGCTGGGAGGAAAAGGAAACTTATGCCACCTGCCCCAGAGCCTCCCACCCCAAAGAGGTGATTCACCCACCGACTCATGGCGGTAAATCTTGACCATACAGTCCATGATGCCCCGGTAGCTGGTCTGGGTCTGAAGTCGCACCTGCATAGGGAGGACAGGGCAGGTGGGGCAGATGAGCCAGTCAGGGCTGCATCCATGCCAGGCAGCCAGCTCTGCCCTCTGCCCCTTGGAGCAGGAAGCCAGTGGGTAGGCAAGGCAGCATGAGCCCCTCTCAGCCAGGCCTGATCTGGGCCACATGATGTTCTATTCAAGTGAGACAGTCCAGTCCTCTGGTGCCTCTCCTGACTCACCTTCACAGTGTCAAAGGGATGTCCCAGGACCAGGCCCAGAGCTCCTGTGGTGACAAGAAGGTGCTATGAGTGAGGGCTCATGCCAGGCCCAGGAAGCAAGTCTGTGTGAGAGGAAAGAGGGATTCAGGCAGGAGGAAGGAGGCCAGGCCTTCTCAGACTGTCCACCTGCCCTCCAGACTTCAAGGAGACTCTAGCTGGTGCTGCCCGGCCCTGCCATGCTATGTGCTGGGCCAGGAAGGTACTAGGTTGAAGGACTGAGACCCTGGGCCCCACCTGAGGAGACACATGCAGAAGGGAAGGGCCCACTGCAGACGCTGTTCACACTGACTATAGAACACAAGGTCTGGAAGGAATCTCCACCCGGCACCTTCCTCCATCTCACAGTGTTGTGGCCTTGCTCCAGAGACCCTGCCTCCCTGGCACTCGCTACTCAGGCTGCAGTGCAGAGCTGGAGGGTCCCTCCAGGAATCTGGCTGGCACCTGGGGAGGAGACCCCACCTCCTACTTCCCAGCCTCATCCTCCACAGCTCAGGCTTGCTCTGGAGCTTGAGGCTGCCTCCCCAGGAGGTGGGTTCAGAATGTCCTTCCCTTTCTCTCAAGAGGAATGTCATCTAGAATCTGGGTTTGGGTACACAAACCGCCATGTCAGGCCTCAGAACCCAGGGGTGCAACCCATTGCCAGGTAGGGCAGAGGCCCAAAGGGGAACTCAGGACAGTAGGGTAAGGTCAAAGGTGAACTTCCTTTTGGGCCCTGCAAGATGGACCTGGCCCTAGTGGGGGGACCTGTGGTACAGGATGTTCCTCGGCTCTCCGCTGTAGTGGGTGTCAGGCGGAGTAGCCTTGGGATGCAGGGCTTGTACCTCTGGCCTGTACCTTCTTCTCCTCTCCTCCTTCCCTGTGACTCCCAGGAGGCTCTGGGGACAGCTGGCTTTTGGGCCTCCAGGGGGATCAGAACTTTAGCCTCGGTTCTTCATATGTCACCCACATCCCTAGGAAGTGACCCACCCACCATCCCTAGGAAGTGACCTACCCTTAGATGTGATAGAAGGAAGAAAAATGTCTCACCAGAGATCCAGCCAGCCATGAACTCCTCCACAGGCATTGTCTGGGCTCGGGCAGGAACTGGTGCTCCACACGGGAGACTGGTGAGTGTGATTCCCCTGCCCTCCCCCGAGACGGGCAGACAGCCTCCCACTAATGTTTAACTCTGGCTGGAGGGTGAGAAGTGGCCCAGTGCCCAGATCTCAGGCAACCAGGAGTGGGGCGTGAGCCAACTTCAGTGACCCTGAGACTGGAGGATGTGTGTGCAGAGCAGGGAATCTTCCGGGGCAGGAAGATGGGCCCACAGGCCTGCGGAACGTCCTTTCTGGTCAATGACACCTTACTGAGTGGCCTGAGATGGCAACTGGGTTCTAGCCCGGCCAGGCCCCTCCAGGGCTGCCTCAGTTAGCAAGAGACAAGGCCCGTCCCGCCTGTTCATGCCAAATTCCTACTCATGCCCACCGAGCACAGGCCTTGCCCACCCCAGACCGGCAGCAAGACCTGGTGGAGGCAGAGTGTGGCCACTAGGTGGCAGGCCCAGCTCACAGTGGCCTGTAGCAGCCACTCAAACAGGATACGCTGGGAAGAACCCAGGAAAATAGAAGAACCAGGCCCTAGAAGAGGCTCCCCAGGCCCTTAAGCCTGTCTACTCTCAGTCAGAGATGCTGCCTCCCTCAGCCTCCTGTGCCCCAGGGAAAGCTGATGGTTCTGACTAGGTAAAGGACTGTGTGTCTGTGCAATGGTACCGTGCTGCTCTGGGTCAAAACCAGAACCTTGCTGTGTCTCTCGCCCTCCCTCACCCTCTTGCTTCCTCCACAAGAAGATGGAACATGAAGGTCGTAGCCAGATGCCTACGCCTAGATATGGGACTTGCCAGTCTCCAAACTGGGAGAAATAGATTTCTTTATAAGTTGAGAGAGAGAAAGAGCGAATCCTTTCTGGGTTCTCTGAGCCCTCAGGGCCCACCCATTCTCTCTGACCTCACCTCCGGCCACCCTGGCCTCCCTACTCTTCTTTCAAACAAGCCCCCGCCTCCAGGTCTTTGCACGGGCTGTTCCCTCTTCCTGGACACCCTCTCCCTGACTTCCTCCAGGCTGGGGCTTAAACGTCACCTCCCAAGGGAGGCCTCCCCGAATCATCTCCAGCAACGTGGATCTGCCCGCCCAGGGGCCGGTGCCCCGCCCTCGCACTCTTCCTCTTCTTTCTAGAATTGTGCCTGTCACCGACTTGGAATGTCCGGGCAGACAAGCTCTCCGGCTGTTTTGTCTATTGTATCTCAAAGGCTTAGAACAGCGCCTGGCACAGAGTAGGAACTCAATAAATCCTAGCTCAGTAAATGAATGAATCAATGAAAAAGTCCAGAAAAGGCATCCAGTGGCCAGACCTGGGGCTCCAGATCTCTCTCCCACTGCCAAAGGACCCAAAAAATACGCCAATCTCCACTCCAGGTCCCCTTGGTTTCCTACTGGATGCCCAACCTTTCTCTCTCCTTTCTCTGAGGGTGGGCAAGTCCCAGGAGGCGGGGCCTCATCTCCAACCTCCTCTCCTGAAGCTGTCTGGGCTCCAGGACTGGCCTCTCAGGATGGGTGGATGGAGCTGCCCTTCTTGGGCCACCTGTTCTCCCAAGTGACATCGGCACCCATTCTGTGGGCTTTGGGGTCCTTTAACACTTGCCAGAGTAGGGCATCAGCCCAGCTGATTGCTATGTCCAAGCCTCTGAGCCCTCAAGGGCCATGGACTCTTTTTCCCCGACTTCAGAATGGGCCCATTCTCTTTCATTTCCACCATCCTACCCCAATTCATGAGAGCCATTTCTTCTCTCCATTTCTGGGAGCCTCACAGAGGGAAATCCACCCTGGCTGTTGCTTTCTCAGTCTTCCTGCAAATTCCACCAGGTTCATCCTCCTCACAGCAGAGCAGGACTCTCATCTTGTCACTTTCTAGCTCACAACCTCCACAATATCCTTGATGCCTGACACCTTCCTCACTGGCCATGCCCCTCACCCTGGGGTTCAAGAACCACCACTACCTGACGTACCCAGGGTTTTCTATAACCTAATGGTCTCCCTTAGCTGCTTGCTTTCCTCATCCTGTCAGCCAGCCTGTCACTCAGCCTTCTGGATTCTTCAACGGCCCTGCTTGGTTATAGCCAGGTTCCAATCTCCCCACTGCTGCCACCACACGCACTGCCAGGAGTCAGTCTCCTTGTTTAATCTTTTCAGTCCTGTTTCCTCATTCATAAAATGGAGATATAATACTCACCTCTCAGTATGCGACAAGGTTTTTTTTTTTTTGAAGAGAGAGAATTTTTTTAATATTTATTTTTTAGTTTTCGGTGGACACAACATCTTTATTTTATTTTTTATGTGGTGCTGAGGATCGAACCCAGCACCCATGCATGCCAGGCAAGCGCGCTACCGCTTGAGCCACATCCCCAGCCCCGCGACAAGGTTTTAAACACTTAGAAAAGTGGCACATAAATAGTAGCTGCTAATGCTCATATTTCCACTCCTAGGATCCATGAGGACATGAAGAAATACAGTGTGCAGCACACAGTATTTGAGCAGGAACTGAAGACCTTCCTCTTCCTGCTTATGGTATTTTGTAGCTCTTATGGCAACACTGTCATCATCTATAGTTTTATTTATTTTTCAGTTTTTTCCAGCATTGATGATTGAACTCAGGGGTGCTCTACCACTGAGCCACATTCCCAGCCCTTTTTACTTTTATTTTGAGACAGGGTCTTGCTAAATTGCTGACAGCCTCGCTAAGTTGCCTAGCCTGTCCTTGAACTTGTGATCCTCCTGCCTCAGACTTCCAAGTAGCTGGGATTACAGGCATGTGTCACTATACCTGACTATAATTATTCTTTATATTACTAGTATAATACTAGTTATTAAGATAGGAATAAAAGAACTGGTGATTGCCCAGATTATGACTATCAGGTGACTTGCAAATACTCTGTGAATTGCAACCAATGAAAGTGGTGTAGCTTGTGAATTTATTACTATTTAATAAATTTTGACATAAATGTGTTTGGTCTATGTATTGACGTAGCTCACTCAGAACACCCACAATCCCTTTGGCTGATCCCCAAGCCCATTGTTGTCTCAGAACAAGTTCCTCTGACTTGGGCAGATGCCCATGGACTTGTTTTTCTCCCTGTGTTCTGCATCTCATACACACATACCCATGTTGCCAGGAAATGTTGGTGAGGTGAGTTGGCAGATAGGTGGTTTCACACCTGCCTCTTCAGAGCTCCAATGTCTGGGAATATCTCAAGGTCTCAGAGGCTGTGTGTCTCAGATAGCCAAGGCTCATGTGACTGTGCCCTGAAAAAACTGTGCCTGACCTCAGTTTTTGACATACACAAATAAATTGAGAATGAGAATGGAGTCCAAAGTCATTTTACAGATGAGCAAACAGAGGCCCAGAGGGGAAGGGACTTGACTGTCTCATGACCACCACCCTTTACGGCCAGAGGGCTCTGCGGTATAGGCCGCTGCCTGCAACACCTCTGCCCAGCGCTCAGTTGGCTGACCAGTCCACCCAAGCATCTTCATCTCTCAGGAGGGAGTGCGACCCCAAAGTCACAGGCGAATGGAGTGAACGCCTACACTCGCGCCCCCTCCCTTTCTTGAATCTTTACCACACCCTACTGCAGATCAATGGTCTGAGACTGCGGGTAGAGAAACTGGACTTGGGTCACTCGGGTTGGTGACCCTGCCGGTTCAAGTCGTGGTCACGCCTGGGGCGTGACCCACCCAGGGGCGTGGCGGGACCCCCGGGGAATCTGGGCATGCGCGGCCCGTGGGGGCGTGGTCCCTCTGGCGCCCGCAGAGAGCGTGCGCGGCGGCCTCAGGCTTCGATTGGCTCCCGCGGCCGGGGAGGCGGAGTCTGACTGCGGCGCTTCCTCCTACCGCAGCTTCCGAGGCGCAGCCCCAGGGGCGGGAACGCCTGCAGCAGCCCGGATACCGAGCGGTGGTAGGCTTAGGGGGCCCTGGAGCCGGAGCTGGGAGCCAGAGTCAGGGCTGAATCCTGGCCTGAGGCTGCGGGCTCTGCGACCCTGCGAGGTGAGAGCGCGGCCACTCCCTGGCTGGCCCCCGCCCCGGTTTGGGGCTCGCGGTGCTCTGCCTGGACATTCTGGCTAGCGAATTTCGACCCTCCGCCCCTGTCACTGCCTTGACTCCTTTCACCAGTCCCGATCTCCAGTCAGCCGAAGGGCACGCTCCACCTCCAGCCTGCACAGTTGGTTTCTGCCAGGCAGGTTGTTCAGCCTTGTAGACCCAGGCTAAGACCCCTTCTCTTACTCGTGAAGAGCTAAAGGAGACCCTCATTCCCCACCTCTGGACCCCCAGTAACTGCTGCTTCTCTTTCCCTTTGCAGATGGACGGGCCAGAAGGCAATGCTGGTCAGCCTGGCCCAGCTGAGAGGTCCCACCGGAGCAGCGTGTCTTCAGTGGGAGCCCGAGGTGGGTCCTTGCTCTGCTCCTCTCTCTGCACCCTCCAGGAGATGTGGCTCTGCCTTGTCTTTTTTACCAATCTTATGTTTTAAGATATCAGGTGTTTATGAGATGTGGCAAACTTAAACAAGCCAGAGGCAGAGCACCTGGGCTTTGTGACTAGCTTAGTGATCCAGTTGGTACTGTCCTTGAATTCCTGCTCTCCTCATTTATAGAACAGTCAAGTCTCACCTGGTTGTGAAATTCGAGTGGGAACATATGAATGAAAAGTGACACCTTCACTTTCTTTGTTCCTTTTCTTTCTCACAAACAGCCTTTCAAAGGCAGGGGTCATTATCTTCCTTTTATAGGGAGAAAACTAGACCCTAGAGAGGTTAAATCACAGGCTTTTGGAAACCTTCAGGTGATCATGATCTTGAGCTTCTCTTCATTGCCTCTGTTTTCCCTCCCTGTGAGTTGGAGCTGAACTTTTTTCCCTCCCTGTAAGTTGGAGGTGCCAGGAGATGATTTTTTGATCTCTCAAAGTAGCTGTAGAGACAGAAGAGACTGGGGATCCAAAAAGTACCTTCACAGTTGACTCTAAAGTATGCCCTTCCCTTTCACTGGCTTTCTTCATTTGATTCACAGCCAGTCTTTGAGGGAGGGATATTATCTCTGCTTTTGCAGATGGGTCAGCCAACACTCAAACTGACTAGCCAAAGTCAGCCAGTTAGCCCTAGAGAGCTGACAAGCACTGGAACCCTGGGGTGTGGGCCTCCAAGCTCAGTGTTCCTTTGCTGCCTGTGGTTCCAGGGATGGGAATTTGAATCTTGCTACCCTGCCAAGGGTCTCTCTTTGGCTTTATGCTCCCGATGGAAATCCCATAGCTTGTAACAAGGGAATGCTCAGCTCTTTGGGTTGTCCTTTCCTAGACTGCTTTTTTTTTCCCTCCCCTCTTGCAGCACTGAGGGCTGAACCCAGAGGCACTCTACCACCGAGCCACATCCTCAGCCCTTTTTAGTTTTTGAGACAGGGTCTCACTAAGTGGGTAAGGCTAGCCTTAAACTTGAGATCCTCTTGCCTTAATCTCCTGAGTCCCTGGGATTACAGGTGTGCACCACCACCACACCTGGCTCCCTAGCCTGCTTAAGGCTTTCTCCTGAAAGGCCACAGTACTGACCTCTGAGGCTTGAAGAGTCCTGAGGAAGCAGAGACATAGAACTTTCTTTGTCTTGGGGTGGCCTTAGGAATCCTCATTCCCTTCCTAGGCAAGACTCATTCTCTCTTTAGTCCAGGCTAAGGGAAACAGTGGGTCAGCATCCCTCCTCACTCCCAGCCTCATAGGCTAACTGCTGTGACCTCAGGATGAGTTCAGCTTATGTGCATAGTTCCTCACCTGTGGAATGTTCTTCAGGGCAGAAATGCAGCAGTGCTTGGGGTTGCCAGAGAGCTGGAGGCAGGGGTTTATCATGGCCAGCTCTAAGTTAAGGTGAGGTAAGGCTGGTATCAAGGCCACAGTGCTGGGTTTCTGGGTGGTTTGAGGGTCTCATGGAAGTCCTGATAGGCA